TAAGCAGATAGATACGCCACGCCGAGGGAAACGGTATTTATCACAACTTTCATTAGGATAACCAACAAATAAAGCGTCATTTCCTCCAATATCATCGTGAACTTTTTTATGCGTTTGCTTTGCAAAAACCTGAATTCTTTTGGCGGTCGAACGTACTGCCCAAATTAAGTGTGTTGGAAAACCCAGACTTCTTTCTGCACATTTTTACTCAACTGTATTTCGTGTTGAGAATCGCAAGTCGGTGAAACAAGATTTAGTGTTTAACCATATCTCAAGTCACATAAAGCAACACACTTGATCGCCTAGTCCTAATTACAATGGGCATGCTAATTTTGTTTCCAGCCCAGGTAATGGAAATTTCAATTTAAGCAACGGAGATAAACCAACTATATAACAGCCCGGATTGTCAAGGTTGCACAGCACAATAAATTGCGAAGATGCCACAAGCCGTCGTAGTTTTCAAAGGAGGATGTTGATGCTTAAATATATCGTGCTTATAGGACCTTTGTAAGGTAAGCTTGTACTGGTCCTCCGGCACACAAATTCCGTTATTTTACTGACAGCCTAACAAACTTCCGAGGTGCTCCGCGTAACCAAACCGTTTTAATCTACTTTCAGTTGGACGAATCATGACATACAGTATTCCTGAATATGATCAGTGCATGGGTAGGCATATATCGTAACGGTTTTGCGTAATAGAAATACCAAGAATAGGGTCTGTGTTGTTTTCGTATTTAACGACATTTATTTCTTGCTCATATTGGGCTGCGTATCACAGCAAAATACTTCAGGGTATATGAGCTGAGACTTAAGTGACTGTGTGGCTCATTCTCCTTCTTGGACATACAATCACTTGGCGCTTTCTGTGGCTCAATTCTTGATTCAAAAATTGTGTTCATCATTGGGATTTGTTCACTTTCTTAGCTTCACGCAGTATTGTGTGTAGCCTCTTGCCCCGCGAATTATTATGAAATACTTTCCGATGCGTACACGCATCGGTATTGTGTGCTGTCATCCAATTTACCACCCAAACCTTACGCATAAACGGGTCGTATTGAACAAAATGAAATTATGAAGATTTGTCATGTTACTTCTCTGGATTTACGCAAATAGAGCTCTGCGCAGATAATCCGTGCGAAGAAGACCGTAAGTTTTTATATGTACATCTAATTTTCTACATTCCTCGCATATTGCCTGGAACACGTTTGAAAAAAAATGCAGCTGGGGCCAGTAAAGATCCTAGTACATTTTTGCTGAACTATTGTGATTCTGATATATTTCGCCCCACTCCTAGCAATACCCAATTCCGTAACTGGTGGTGGCGCTTAATTGGCGAGCCGAACAAGAAGTAAAGTTTAGGTCTTCGCTGGGGGAAGTAGGTTCCTGTGATATAAGATGCACATATTCGAAGGTTTACATGATCGTTGAAAACACCACTCCGTTTTAATCAGTTGACACTTGAAATGCTTCATTGCATCGAATTTTTGCGTTGCAGCTGCGAAAATTGCAGAAATGGACGATTGCTGTGGTAGGTTTATTTTTGTCGTGGTCTCCGTTTTGACGTGCCACGGCTAAAAAACAATATTTGTGGGATTATCCTCAAAGTGCCTTTACTTTTGGTTTGGCACACAATCGTGGGCATCTTATATGTTTTCTAAATAAATGCAATCAACCAAATTACTGCAAACGTTTAACTAAATCGATTTATTTAGAAAAATGTAACGAGGACGAGAAAAATCGTTGTTTCTGTGAGTTAAATATTTATACTTCACAGTTAATAAAAAGGTCCCAAAATATGTCTCCATTTTCTAAATTTTTAACGCGTGCCCGTGGTGTCAAAGCCTTTAGAAAACAACTGGAACACGTAGTATACTTGGGAATATACGTGTACAAAAGTCACTATAAATTTCACACTTTGTGAGGTCAGGACCCTAAAGTGCAGCCTAAGGTCCCTGGCATTTTTACTTTGGAGTTTCTTTCCATGCAGGCGAAGTATTTGGGCAAGATTATACTTATTTGGAGGCAAACAAGTTTGGTTGCAACCAGCACCTTGAGTTTCAAATGTTGTGAGGGTTGACGCACACGTAAACCAGAACATTTATTGTGCTTGCTTCATGAACACACTGTTTATGCGAAGATAATTTCAACGTCGGTGTATGTCGCTCAACCGCAAGATTAAAGTGGGCAACGCAGATCGATCCAGAATTGCATTTCAATTTGAGATTGCTACTCAACGCTACAGTGCAACTCAACATTGTGGAAGTCCGTTTAATTTTCGTGCAGCGTTTGCCTCATTTTGGTAAACATAAAGTTGAAAGTGCATCTCTCTACATAAGATGGGGTTTTTGCCTTGTAGCCAAACATTTACACAATTTTGGAAGAAGACGTACGTCAACTATTGGTTTGCCGATATTTCTGCTCTGAAAGTTCAGTGGCAGTGAAGGATGACAAATAAATTGTTATTAATTTTACTCGAATCTCATGTGAAAGAGAAATAAACACACTCCGTTCTAAGTCGCGTTTTGAGGAGGTGAATTATCGCGCTCACAACTATAGGATAGCAAAATCTAACTTGACATACGACACAGATGTCTTAACCACTTGGATACCCCAACATTATATCTCTGCATTTGGTAACGCCAATTTACAGAAAATTGTGTTAAGGCCGCTCGCCAGCGCTGCATTCGTGAGTCTACTCAGTGATTGCATAAACGTTTCGGAGCTTGCCTAAAGATCTGTTGCCGAAATTGTGCGTTAGTGCTTATAAAAGCGAGTAGAAAGACTATTAACTGAGCTTACCTTCTGCCAAAAACATTAGTAATAGCTGCTCATGTCGCGCTTACTTGATGTTGGTTGTACCTTTACGCTTAGGCCGGTGCGGTGAAGACGCGGGATGCATATGTAAGTCTATTCTTCTGATAATCCCAGCTCACAACTATTCCGAGTCATAAAATTGAACTAAGAATTTCTAACACACAAGCTGTTCTGCTTCAGCAGAACGATGTGCGTCCCACCCAATAGAATATAAGTAAATTTTTATAAAAGGATGTCGGTAATTTCAGTGCACTAGTCAGCCCAAACGTTGATTCTTAATGTAGTGGATAAGCTCTGTAGGTTATTTATCGCCCCCAAGTCGTCGTTGCACGCTTTTCGGCGATTTTCATATTGTCACGTTAAATAACGTTTCGCTTAAGCAGCGGTTCCAAAGGTTTTGTTTAAACACCAACAAGTTGACACTTAACATTGGATGGGAGGGTGCAAGCTGTGCCAACTCATCTTAATAAATGTGTGCGCTTTTGAGTTAACGTTTTTCTCAAACACATAACTAGCCTCTCCTTGAGCAGCTTTCCCAAGCAAACCGCAATAAATTGTACGCAAACCGACCATTCAAACTTGATACTAGAATTCAATAAACTTATTCTAAGTAAACGCAATACCTAGCCGGGTAAACTGCTGGTTGACGTCATTTCGTCCCAGGGGTTGTACACTTTTGGGCATGTTCGTTTCTGAAAAACACCTTGAAGTTCAATAAACTCGCCGCGCGAAAATTACATCACATCACGTCACATCTTTTGGCATCACACTCAGCTGATGTGGTTTTGTGTGTAACCATTTTGTGTGAGTGTGTAATGATTCTAGGTCACCAGAGCGTCCATTGCGAGTCTTTCTTTAACTGGATGTTTCAGTGTTGCTTAACCATTATTGAGACGCAAAGCTTGGCTAATTAAAAACAGTTTATTTGGGTAAATCCCTGATAAATTCTGAAGTTTTCCTGAACTGTTGCTGAACACAGAGTCCCAAGACTAGGTCCAAACTACAATTTCCGCTGGAGCGATTAATTTTTAAATACAATCTGCGACATGATATTTTCAACTTTAACAAACCTGATGGACTAAAACATTTTAGATGTAAAATGTAGCTGCGTGGCACTTTTTTCCGCATATAATCTTCTACGGTAGTCAAACGTAAGGAATGTTACTCAGTTTTAAAGACACCAAAAACGCAATATCGACGCGTTCGATTTACGGGGATAGTGTTTTAGAAACAAGAGGATTCACTCATGAATCTCCTTAATTTGTCAATAACAAATTCAACAAATCTGATGAAATTTCCGGTCAGTTAATTGCCAATTCAAGCATCAACGCCTAGGTAAGTGAACGCTTGCAACTGTTTGCTGTAGATTATCAACTGGTACACAGTTAAGGTGACTTTTTGAGCGTACTCGTGTTGCAGAATTTTTGCGTTATCAAAATGAAAGCCGACTTATAAATAATGCTCATTTTTGTACGCACTGTTCGTTATTTGTAAGTTGCAAGTGTATGCACTCTTTTTGATAGAACCCCACATACCTTCAATCGCTAAACATTCATCGTGCTTTACACAAAACAGATCCTGGGATTGATTTGTAAAACAAACTGTCAATGAATTTTCATAGTTAAGTGATGTGCCTCAAATCCTTTTATCATCGCAATAACGGGAGCATCCACTGATGAAAACATTAGCTGCCTGACAAATTTGCGGCTGCGGTTTCGTTAAATGCAAATACGCAGTAATTTTGAATGCATCCATGCAGCCGTTGTTACCTCAATCCTTAAACAATGGTGAGCAAGGCATCGCGGAGTGATTTGAGGTTTACACGGCTCTCACAAGCAAATACAAAAAGACTAGTCATAATATCATGTGGAAGTATCCATGAAGCCGTTGTTGCCTCAATCCTTAAACAATGGTGAGCAAGGCATCGCGGAGTGATTTGAGGTTTACACGGCTCTCACAAGCAAATACAAAAAGACTAGTCATAATATCTATGTGGAAGTTAATGTAGAACACCCTAAAAATGGTGCTCGTAATGCCCGTTTGTTGTGAAACACGCTACGGCGTGCTTCATCCCGCAGTTTTTATAAGGATGGAAAAATTTGCTCCCGTTTCCAGCTACGGTATGACTCTTCTTTGACTCTTGACGCTCCGCTAGAAATTAACTTATTATTTCTGCAAACACTCACCGGAACCTCCCAAATGCTGGAGAGAGAATTACACCAAGTGTAGCAATTCTGCCCAAAATTTCAGTAAATTGGCTGAAAGACATGGTCAAATTTACACGAATAACTTTCACCACATTACCAGAAAGGTTCCACATTATTGGATTTTGGAATAGCGTCGTTATCAGCGAATTAAAACTGTTCATAAACGCCTTAGCGTAGGTGAGGAAAGTGTGCTTGAGGTCAAAAACAGGTAGCGTTTTTTATTAGTCTACTTCTAGTTGCTTGACGAACAGCAATGCACGTTAAGCCAAATGACAAGATTAGATAAGAAAAGAGGAACAACAATCAAAATAGGTTAATGAGCTGCAGAATATGATAGCCCACAACAATATAAGGTGATAAATATCCTGTAGCTTTCACTAAACCTGTATAAAAGAAAGAAATTTTGCTTATTCAAACCCTTCGAAACATGCCTTGACACGGTAAATATGCCTTGGAAGTTTGGGCTGTCAGAGATTAAGATTGGATCGGCTCCGGTATCCATTGTGGATGCAAATAAGCATAGACATTTTATCGGGTTTTGTTTTTCAGATGCTACCCGACAATTAATCATACAAGAGGTAAAACGAAGCAGATTTTCTTGTGGATTTAAACTAGCACAATTTAATTGTCGGTCTGTCAGCAAACGAAATCACAAGAAACAAACAACCAATAAGAGAATGTGACTCGTTTTAAGTCTAAGGGGCAAAGTGATTTACAATCATTGGAAAGAACTCAACGCGTACAAGAAACACTTACCTGTGGAAACAAATGATGACTTGAAAGAATCATCCGCAATAAAATTTTAATTGTTGACTGTGATGTAATTTGATATAGTAGGTAGGCGGCGCAGGCCTCGCCCGGCGACCGTCTTCTGAGCCTCCTGTTCATTTCCACTAGGCTATTCAAAACCGCTTATGTTAGTTTAGCCAACCTCGATTAAAATTAGCGCAAACTATGATCTTTGCAATTGAACCACGTATTTTTTCGCGTAATACGAGAGATTGTGTGTGTGTGCTCACAAAAAATAGCCCGTTGATGTGGTGTTGTGGAGTACTTCCGCAATATACACACCACCTGTGCCAAATAGATTTATTTGAAAAGAATTGTTTCGTGGATCAAACATCACAGGACAAAGATCGAGTAAAGGGCTGCAAAATCAAATGTAACATAATGCGCTAGCACTCATTTCAAATGTCATTAGTCGACGATGTCCACATGTGTGGTATCCATTTTGGTTCATATAATTAAACACAAACCAGATATGTGTGTTCAAAGGCAGCAACGTATACCTAACAAGGTGAACTGTCGTTACCTGCGACGATGTGAGCTTGCGTAAACCACCACTTCGTGTATTTAGGGGCAGATTTGCCTCTCATAAATGAGTGCGTCGGTTTACTTTGCTTCTGAGCAATCAATCTGTGGTGGGGACTGGTGCCTTATTGCTAATTTCCAGTTTTGATTTTTATGGGATTAATGAGTAGGGGTTATGGATCAGGGCTTGATTAACTGGAATGAACTACAGGGTTTTATATTTTAACTGGGTTGTCTGTAACGGTGCCGTTTCATGTCATCCCTGTTGCATTAAAAATGGAAAATGAGCCAAAAATAGATTTCCCTCTAGAATTTTCTCACATTAAATTAGAAGGTCGACTATTCCTTCCTTGGTTGAGCTACAGGATTTAAGGGAATATGACTAGTTCAACAGCGCACAAAATTATTGCCAGAACAAAATCAGTGGAGAGATGAGACCGCTATGTTACACGACAAAAATCCTCAAAATATCAAGCGTAATTATATATCTTCTCTTATTCTGATCTTGCGGGGTAAAATTGTCGTGTCAAAATAAACCAATGTTCGCAGTAACGAATACAAGGGGAACCAATATGCTTAGCACAATATTTAGCAAACAATAGGAAGCGCGCCTTGGCACGTATTGCGCTCCACGAGTGTCAGATGGAGTTAAAGTTGAAATTTATTCTTTTCAATAAAAAAACACAAAACTCAAATTGGCAAAACCTAATTAAGCAGATTCAATTTAGCAACTTAGTTGTGATAACTGTTTGAAAATAAATAGTGGTTAAGTGAAGAATAAGATGATAAAATTGTACACGCTTCCCAGCGGCTTTCAAGCTCTCCGGCATGATTACAGTTCAGTGCACAACATGGGTAATTAGGACCTACTCAGTGGCAAAACTGTGTTCAAACTGCATTCTGAAAAATTTCCAAATGTACCTTCTTCAACGAAAACACCCTTCACGTTCACATTTTGTCTAGGGAATCGCGTCACAAAAGGTAGCAAATGGCAGAGACTAACCATAGAAAACCTGTGCCCCAACACAGTTTTAATAGGCTGTGGGATTAAATGACAAAGAAGCAGAGGTACGCAAGGCTGAAACGATCGTTAGAAGAATTACCTGTGTTTGATGGTGCCCCTGAGAAGTAGTCCTTAATTGTGCCGCACTCTGACCACCAGATTTCAACGGGGAATTCCAAAATGCAAAAGAGTCGAAAACAAGGGATGATTAGCGCAAGGTTTGACAATGACAACATAATTATTGTTTTTTGGCTCCCTTAACAAAAAATTGGGTATTGGTCGCGCGAGTATAAGTGATCGATTTGCAAACAGATTTTCCTGGCATTTGGCCAAACGGAAATTAATCCAGATTGGTTTTAGGAATATTGCGCCCCCCGCCAGGCAATCAAAATAAGTTATTTGATGTCAGCATAGCAGCTGGGACACGCAAATCCCCGAGGATTGAAGAATTCATCCACCAAGCTTTAAGGCGAATATGCAATTTTCGGGTGGGCCCACAGAGGTCAGGTCCATCACAAACTGAGAGGGTTATTAGAGAGGTGTTGGGAGGAACTGTGTAAAAAAAATTAGGAGCTACATGGCTGCAAAATTTAGAGCCGTCTGCCTTTTTGATTAGAAGGGAGCCAAAAATTCGAGTTTCTTCTCCAGAAGGTATGATGAGATTGCATATCAGCCAAAGTTTTCATTGTCCTATTAGTCCTCGGTATGTATATGTTATCCCAATGCCGTTTGTGAAAATGGAAGAAAGCAAGTCACATGAAACGGACAGTTTTGAAAAGCGTGCTAGACACTCGTTTCAGGAAAAGTTTGTCGTCATCAGCAGCTATGTTAGCCTGGGTGAAGGAAACAAATTCACAGAACAAAATAATTTGCCTACAACTCCGGCACGTCCTTGATGATATAACAAAACCAGGGAGAACGTCCGCTACGTTCTTGAACCGGCCTGTAAATTTTATGGCAAGCGATAAACTGGATTGATCCCGCACATGGAAGTTCACTCAGTTGCCTCTATCCGATATCGTAAACAACAAGGCGCGGCATTTTCTTTGAAAATATGGACACTGTCATTTTAACTTTGCCCATTATCAGTAAAGGTTCATTGGGATAATAATACCTAATTAAATTTAATAGTTAGAAAGCAGTAACTATTAGCGCACCCAAGTCAAAATTAACCGATCCGCGTCATGTGCATCCGAGCACGTGTTAAATAAACGCTTTGTTGAGAGCCTAATACTTCTGTCAGTTTTTATCGTCAGGAAAACGCAAACTTCCAGCGCTAAGAGACCAATGCAAGCCAAATGACGGGGACGTTCTGCTTCGCATCGCTGAATGAAAGAAAGCCAACTTGTTGGATTTCTGGTCGCTTTGCCCAATATTTTACCGGGTTGGGAAAGTTCAGCAAGGTTGGTCTTTCTTAATTCCTCACGCACCAAGTCTACCTAAAAGGCCGGTTGTGAATAAGCGATTCTCCATTTAGAGTAGTAGTATGAGTGGGTCTATGAAAAGCAGTCTTTATGTGATGTTTAGAAATTTCGAAACAGTTGCCGCCAAACTGGTACGAATTGCTGATTTCATCGAGCAAGTTGGAACAAGTTGCAGGTGGTTCCACCAACCCCATTGAATCTAAATCTGATTTGCGACGTATTCCCTGATCTCTATGTTTATCTAATCACTGGATTACCACAAGCTATTTGGTCTAAATTTCAGTTCATCTTAAAAGGTTCGCTAATTCCGATTTAGCATTTAAATGTATATTTAAATGCTATTTCGTCCCTGGAACATCTGACTTCCTTACGTTGTCGAAGTCTACCAATATTTATGAGCAACATACCGGCAAACTTCATTTCTGGATTAGACAAATGTTACAGGTATAAATTTTAATATAGTTACTATGTATTTCAGGACGTTTTAACCTCAGGATTTCTCCAAGCACAGTGCCTGTAACAACGCAGTTTTTTGCTCCATGAAATCTACCACTGCTTTGTTTTCAAGTTAAGAGTTGTCTTGCACCGTTCACCCTTAAAGCGGATTTAAACGTGGAGTACGTTGTATCGGAATCTCGTACCGATACGTTTCAAGGCGATTAGTTTTCATCCGTTTATCCAAAACTGGAACACGTTTTCTCGCCGGTGTGGAGTGCATTATGGATTGAGCGAAAGTAACATTCTAAATGTGCATGATCCAGCTTTTGTGGGACGAAAGCAGGAAAAAGGAGGACAATTCATCGAAATCGTGTCCTCGATTTGTATGTTTCGCTTCATAAAGGTAACCTGGAACCTCCTTTGGATCCTTGCTTTTTGAAGAACCCAATATATACAAAATTTCTCAGGCCAGATTTATTGTACCACTGAACGGTTGTAATTAAAAACGCTAATCAATATCACCGCAGGATCCCAACAGTTCGGCCGCATTTTGCACTAATTTTTTGGTTTGAAAATTCATGCTGGCTTCAACACCTATCCTACCGCTGTGCATTGATTTACCTGAGCACTGCTACATGACATTCTTGGAGCACATCATCAGATACACTGTTTAAACTAGCAGTCAGCTTTTTTAGGGGTGCACCAAAACTGTGAGGCACGTGATGCAGTGGGAAATCTCTGGCGTATGTAGAACACGGTGTGAAGTTAGGTCATGTGTCAGTGCCAAGCATGTCGCCTTATACCTATTTCATTAGGCAC